TACTTTTACGTGCATTAAAAATCAATGTCAATCTCTCTCAATCCACCAGCGTCCTAATCATGTCCAACTGGAAATATACAAATATGCACTCTTATCGTGTCTGAGAATCTTATCATGTTTATAAGATATCATCAAAGTATTATTAGTTTATATATAATTCCATTGCCAATGCCATCTGCATAACATAGGTTTTCATAAAGTTATTTAGGCCACCCCAAAAAGCTCTGTCGGCCAAGCAACCACTTCATCCGACTGCCTCCTTACTTAAACAACAGGTCGAACCAAAGATACCTATACAATTGCTATTACTTATATATAGGAGGGAGGGATTGGACTCTTTCTAGTCCGAGTTTTTAGGGTCGTTAAGGTGTCACGTCACGATAGACACATGATTCTGTACAACCGGTGAAATAGAGAAGAAAATTTCCAAAAGTTAAACCATTTCAGCCAGCAAATCAGAGCTCTAAGCATGGACCAGCTAAATACATCTTCAACCTATCTCAAGTCAGTACACCCAAGACCAAATTCTACACATCAATTGTTGAACTGATGATGGAATAGTTCAAAAGCAAAGTAGATGCAAGTAATGACGAGGAACTTGTAAGGCTTTATTTCTTCGCTGAAAACCTAATTTCGCCTAACTGAAACTGATGCCTCATACCTTGACTAATCATAACTCTTTAATAGATGAAGCCTACTGCATAAATGCCAGCAAAAGAAAACCGCAGAGTGAAGGCTTGCCTGATAACAGCTTTTAAAGAAAATTAAAGTGACGGAGGAGATGAAAGAGATGAACAAGACAGGAGAAGTATAGGGAATTAAAAGTAACAGGCTAAAAGCTAAAAGCCATTTAAATTGCTTTTTACTTTTTAGAACTTTTGAAGTATTTTTTCTCTCCTTTTTCCCTCACCTTTCTCCTAAGAACCGTCCACCTCTCCCCCTCTACCTCGTTAAAGAAAAGCTTAAAAGTTAAAAACAAAAATGCCACTAAAAGGACCTTTAAAATAAAAAGTTCTTTTAAAATTAGGAAAATATGAATCACCTGACGAGCTACAACTATTTCACCAATCATAGGAACTACAGTACCAACCAGAAATACTGAATTCAATATTTTGGAAACTGATTCTATGTTTCAAGTTTCAACCACAAACAGAAAATAAAAGAGCAGACAAACAATCTCAACACGCATTAACCTCTAACACCTATAAACATCAGAAATGAAATCATCAAAATCATAGTAAAACTAAAACCACTTCAGCATCAAGGACAAAAGGACAGTGTTTGCAATCACTAGATTAATAGTTTAAAACCAGTACTAAAATTCAAGTATGATAAGAGGCTTCAGAAGCACATAATAGCTTCCCTTAAGTATTAAAAACAAGTAACATCAACGCATAGGGCAAGACGAGCAATGCCCCTTTTCTAATCACCAACCTCGCATAGCTTCTGAGCCCAAAATTCTGAATTTGTCAAAATCAAAACTTCAACAATAACAAAGCAACTACATCAGATCAGAACTATACTGAAAGTGTGAAAGCTAATACAGGCAAGTTTTGACATAGTAGTACAGAGCAACATAAAAAGTTCCCTGTTTGGCCAACTTAACAGCATATTGACACAGTTAAATGCAGCAGAAAACATGCAATACAGTATGACGTAATTAAAATGTTGCCAGAACAAAAGTTTGGTGTTCTTTCTCCTACGAGAAGACATGCAGCTGAGTTTCAAAGGAAAAAACCTAAATGGAAAGCAGCCAGGAAGGGAGTAAATACAAAATCAGAAAGAGAATGACTTTACATTGGACAACAGCTCTATTATTATCATATATCAAATGAACCCAAATCATAACCTACTATGAAACTTATCATTGTAGTAGAAATGGTTTGGAAGTCAAATCAACTGCAACTACATTCTTTACCTAGCCACTCCTCTTAATCGTTACTGGTACAGTAGTGTCTAAAGCACAATTCGACCATTACAAGCAAACATTCAATACCACATTTACATGAGCATAAATTCAGAGTCTGAAAAGATAAACATTATGATGTTATCCTATGAGGGGGGAGAGAGAGAGAGAACAAATGACACCAAACTCCTATAAAAAGAATTGATCTCTAAGATGACGAAGTAAGTAGAGAGATTCATTTTAATTCTTCGCGAGCAAAACAATAAACAATTTTCTCAATACATAGGTAAAATACACTACTTGCTAGTTCCTAGTAGACCAAGCTCCCCTTCCCCAGGAAAACCTTGTACTGTTCCAATACTACTGACTTGAATCACAAGACAACAGCTTGAATCACAACCCTAGACTTACAACCAGCATTAAGCACAATAAAACAGACATCCTAACATAGAGGCTTAGTAGCCACTACCACAAATCCAATGCTTAAAAAAAAGTCTTTACCATTCTTCTCAAGCGCATAATCTTTGAAGGCATGAACAATGGTTTGATATCATTAAAAACAATAGGGATGAGTTTCTTCAAATGTTATGCTTGGAGACAGCTATGGTTGGTGCGCACTTACTTTTTTCCTTGTGACTGTGTGAATGGTAAGTGGAATTCAAGGGTGAAGGGAAAACCCTATAATTCATTCAGAATGCATTTATGCATCTCTACCAAATGAGTCAACACTCAATTAAAGCTTCACCAAGCAACACTCAATACCCTACAGTCTCTGGCTCTGGAGTTTGAATCACAATGACAAAGCCCCAGAACACTAAAAACAATCACATTGCTCTTTATTCTAACACAAATACAAAACCCAAAGTGGCAACGTCCCATATTATCATCTAACCCATCTCAACACTTCAAATGCCAATTCCTACAGCATATGCAAAACAGGGAAAATGGTATTTACCTCCAAAACAAAGAAAACTAGTAGAAATCATAATATACAAAAATGAAAAAATAATAATACTATTATTAGCTAGCATAAAAGAACAGAGACAAATTGGATTCAGAAGATCACGAATTATATTCCATAACCCAAAATCATAAACAACGACTAAATATAGCATTTACCAATTTGTGTTAATCCAATGGACTAATTATACTCAGTCACAAGTCAACCACACACGGACTTGACTGACCCGTCAAAGTCCCCGTCCCATTCTTCTGGGCAAACCCGAAATCGACCCGCTCGCAGAAGACCCGCAACACGCGAGGCCTCGACTGGAACACTCCAGACCTAAACCGAACCGAAGCAAAAACTCCTAGCCCGAACCTCACCGACCCACGATCCCTCTCGTCGGAGATCCGCTTGGCCACGTAATTGCCGACGTACTCCCCCACCGTCGCCAGCTTGAACCCGACACGCGTCTGGTTCCTCTTGGTCAAAACAAAGGGAGGCAACGACGTCGTGGCGATTCGGTCATCGTCACCGTAGAAGAGTGAGGCCTGGATGCTGTCGTAGTAAATTCTGAGCTTGTGGTTGGGGTTGTTGGCGAGGAGGGTGAGGTTCCAGGTGGCGGTGAGCTCAGAGCCAGTGGCGTTGAGCGGGAAGACTGAGGCCGATTCGACCCGGAACTCGGGGAGGCGAGGGCGGAGGGCGAGCCAGGCGATGAAGAAGACGAGGGACATGATGGCGAAGACGGCGACGGCGGCAATGAGGAGGCGGCAGAGGAGGGTGGGCCTATTGGGCGCGATGGGCCCAGTGGGCTGAGGGGCGTAGTGAGGAGGTGGGCCCATGGGCCGGTAGGTGTTGGTGTGAGGAGGCGGGGGTGGGGCCACGTAGGGGTAGGCTCCGGCGGCTGGGTAGCCGGCTGCGAATTGACCCGGCTCAACTGGGTAGCCGGTCACCGTCTTGTTACGACCATCATCGGCGCCGGCTGCTGAGGTAGCCATTTAAGAGCGGAGAGAGCTAATTGAGTTTTTGGTTTCCAAGAGACAGATAAGTAATGAAAAAATAAAGGGTAGGCGTAGAGGTAGAGGAGGATGTGTTTGGTCGGTCGATAGATACAATGCGAAAAAAAAAAAGATTTCCGAGATCACAAAGTTGCCTTCAACTACAGTTTGATTGTTGATAGAATTGCTTGGCGTAATTCTGTTTTGTATTTAATTACAAGTGTTTAGGAGATAATTAATTAATTGACCAAAAAAAAAGGAGATAATTAATTAATTAATTGGCTAATAATAGCTGTCATCTCTGGCTCCATTTTGAGATATTTGTTTCTTTTTTGTTTTTGTATTCTTTTTTGTTTGGCAGAGGGCGTAGACTTTGAAGCGCCGTACTGAGGAATCTCTCCCGCCTTCTACGGTGGTGACACTTGTCGGATCGTTGTTGTCCCTATCTGCTTCTTATGCGAGGCGGGTTCGGGTTCACGGTTACCCGCTCCGCGTATTTGAATCGATAAAGCCCAAATGGACATATGGGTGTTTGTTGGACTTCTATCTACTTCGTTATTATTTTTTCTGGTGGCCTTTGCTTTAAGCATAATGTTGTATCTGGCCTAACACTTTTTATTGATGTTTGTCAACTTGTTTAATGAAGCTTTTTCACGAAGAAAAAACACAATTAGTGTAATACACATCCTAATGTTGGTGATAATAGTCTAAACTACATCATTATTCTCCTGTCAATATCATTTTACAGTGAGCTAGACTCTGTTGGCCTATCAATTGGTATTATTGGATTCAATAATAGTCGGGTCTAAAGGTTTTTTTTTCCTTTCAATTTTGATTATGAAGTGGAATTTGGAGAGACTTAATTTGCAAAGCGCCTCAAAAACAATAGACATGAAGGGACGATCGCGGATCACATTGTGCAGTGTTCTCCACATCTTTGGTTAATAACAAAAGCTAAAATTTATTCAAACATATTCATCAAAGAATGAGTAATTAACTTATGTTAAAGCTGAGAAATTTTGCATTTAGTTCATCATACATGATTAATGAATGGGTTAAGAATCTTCTAACTTAGGTTAGTGTTGTGTAAAACATGAAGTAATATGATTAATGTCGTTTAATATTAAAAAGAAAAATACGATCAGACTCCGAGTTAGTCATTATGTGTCACTGTATAGCTATAACGAAATTAAAATTAAATGAAGTACAAGAAATCCTAGAAAAAATAGCATAAAAATTTTTCTACAATAAAATTAACAGATTTAAGGGTTTCTAAAATTATGAACATATGACTCCCTATAAGTTAGCCAAATACACAATCCCCACATATGGAGGAGACATGGGAAGAAAGTCAATGAGACCGTGAGACAGATAACCAAACAAAAATATCCGACCCATTTCTCGTCTATGACTAAATAATCAGAAACCATCGGAGATATCGCATGCCTTCGAGCTCCCACTGGGCATGCTCCCAGTATTTGACCCCGCCGGCAGAGGCACCTTCAAATCTGAGCATTTCACCCGGAGGGTCCCACTTCTGTAGTTACTGTAGTGATTATAAAAAAAACCACCGGCTTTCATGTCGTACGAAAGCGTCAACCTCAAATTGAAGCTCACGTTCCCGCCCTCCTTCTGCTCCTTCTCCATGTCCTCCACCGCGCTGCTCGCCGTTGTATTGTACGTCTCCATCTTCATGTGCATGGTGCCTTTTGCCCGAGAGTCTAGATTCATGGAATGCATGACCGAGCCCATCGCGAGATAGTTGTCCTTGTGGTACAGGGAGGTCTCCCACCTGTCTATGTCCAACTTCATCCTGTAGCTGGGGTTGTCCACGTAGATGGAGGCCTCCCATTTCCCGGAGAGCACTTTGCTTCCTGGGACGAGGTTGAAGTTGGAGACGCTGAAGGACTCGACCTTGAAGGCCGGGGTTTCGGGGCGGACCACGACAAACATGACGATGCTGGCGAGGAGGGTGAAGATGACGAGGAGGAACATGATGATGCAGAAGCACCGGAAGCAGCTGCTGGCGGCCTCGTCAGCTTGGTTGTAGGAGGTGGTGGTGTAGTAGGGGTCCTGGTAATAAGGGTTGTAGGCACTCGCGTGGTACCCGTGGTAGGGGGGCGCTACGGTGGGGTATCCTTGTGGGTGCGCGTAGCTCATGTTGGATGGCGGATAGGTGCCCCCGGCGGGCGGGGGGTAGGGGTCAGTGGGGGCTCGAGGTTGGTGGGCTTCTGATGATTGTATTGCGGGTTGGTCGGAGGAGCGGGGTTGATTGGTTTCGGTTGTGGAAGCCATATGTGTTGCTATTAATTATATATATGGAATGTTCGTTCTCTCTCTCAAGAATCTTCCGGGAGAGAGAGAAAGAAGAGAGAGAGAAGGAGGGAGTTTTGGGGGTAGGGGATTAAAATGTGAATTGGAGGGAGATTGATTATTGAAGGAAATGAGAGTGTAAAAATAGGTGGGTGTGCTGTGAAAAGCCGCGGAAAGAGCGTAGGACAAGGTAATTAATTAGGAGTTGTAATCTATGTTAAGGAAATAAGTGATGAAGACAAAAGAATTATAGCTAGCAAAATTGGCATATTAGCACCTCCATGTCAATCTTCTCACACAGCTCTCCATAATAAAACTAGCCCTATATTGTGGCCACTATACGCACACATTAAAGATCATGTGTTGCAATGCAAGCATGAGTTTATTTAGGGGAATACTTTCTGGGTGCCTATGTGTTTGCTCCCGCGTGTTAACAAATGTTCACCATACACATGTCATGAATTATAATACTATTCCCGGCTCTACCCGAAACACCGTACTTGAAATTTTTCCCAAATCCGTCACCGTATGTTCAATTGCTTATCTCCTTCATGCTCAACTATTAGAGGAGAAGCTATGTCGGGAGAACATAATTTCCCCATGGAAAATTGTACAATTTTTTTGCAAGTCCCTATTACATACATGAACATGACGTGACCCTCATTCCCTCACTCCCAAATATGAAATTATCTCTTGATATATTTGTCGCCCGCATGGAAAACTAAAAATACAAGAGATTTATACTAAAAATGGTAAACTAGAATATTTAAAGGAAACAATCAAGGGAGAAAATGAAGGGATTAAGAAATTAATCGAACATGGAAATAAAAGCCAAAGAATTGTAAACAACGCATGATGAATCATGATTGTGATAATCGAGGACATTTAACATTGAAACGAAGAAAGTGAGAAAATCTTGGCATTATTTGACCCTTTTCAAACTTCACTAGGAAAACAGCGAAGTCGTGAAACCTCGTCTCCTTCAGTATGAATGGAGGGTGATGCTGTCAGTTTCATATTTTTCTTTCTTGTGTATTAAAAAAAAAAACAGAAGAGAGTGGAGACTCAAACTCTTTTCTTTGCGTCTGTCTGCTTGCTTGATGCCTAATTCTGTGAGGTAATTTAAAGGAGAAACAAAACAAAATTAAATAAAAGGGGAAGCAAAAACAAAGATTATTAGATTGGCATAAGTTGATCATAACTCAAAATTACTCAGGCAATGGAACAAAGCACCATCCTCCCTCACCAATCAGCTTCCCCTCTCCAACCGAAGACACAAACTCAACTCTCAACTCAGAACAAGATTCTTCAACACTCAATCCCCAAAGCCAGGCCCAAATTCTGGTCTTTCCGAACTGGTAAGGAACAACCAGGTCCATTTTCATTTCCAAACGAACCTCCTTCAGAGCTTCCTCTGTCGAAACCCCGGGCCCTTCCTCCCCACACTCTCTCATATCAAATCTTATGTGCAGCCCATTTGGCCTCCTGAACTCAACGTCCACTGGCTTCACTGAGGCACACCACAGCGGTTCGAATTTCGGGTAGTACACGAAGCCCTGAAAGTGTTTGATGTGAACTTGCAGATCACTGTTTTGGCTGAACTTCAACTCTGCATCCCAAACAGCGCTCTGCAGTTCAGAGACGGGTTTCGTTGTGTTTGAGACAGAGAAAGAGTGCTGAGCAATGGCGATGGGATATGTTCGAATGCCGCCGTTCAACGACAAACATACGGTGGTGACAAATGCAAGTAATGTGATGAGGATTGTAGCAGCAGCCAATTTCAAGGACATTTCTTCTGCCAGTGCCTTGTGGAGACGAGACCACAAAGGGCCCATTTTTGTTTTTCTGCAATGAGTTAAGGTGTGAATGAGAGAGTATTGGGAGCAGCTAATATTGAAATGGCAGTCAAATTCAGAGAATCAGTGCACATTTGGGTACAAAATTTATGTCATTAATTCATGGAGGTCAAAAATGGATAAACCCAGTGTTAATGCTAATTGGCATCCTTTGGCATAAACTCAATGATTTAATGCAAGGGTGCTTAAAATTTAAAATGGGAAGAAAACCAGAAAATTAAATCACATTGATTTGTTTTCCTTTTACTTGACATCCGTTACTTGTTGAGTTAATAATTCCTTATATAGCAAAACCTGCTACTTTTAAATCACAAGAATTTCTCACAAGTTGGGCTTTGCCTACTTTTCTCAAGTGCTCTGGCCCAAGTAAAAAGGACTAAATTTTTTGAAATAAACAACTTATTTATACGAAATTTACATTAGTCGCATTTCATGAGCTTATCTTTGCCTGCTATAATCCCTTAAAATTTCAGAGTCGGCCCTTATCTGCGGTAAGAACTGCATGATCATTTAGGTAATGGAATGGTGCACTTGCGGCCCCCATTTATCTTCCCCTCCCCTTTTGCACCCTCAAACTGAACCTTCAACCCTGAACAGTTAGGATTTAACGTCACTTGGGTTCCCATTCCCAAAAGCTCCCTCATACTATAAGAAGCATCTATGCGCATTTTCAAACTAAAGCTAAGGTGACCACTCTTTCGATCTTCACTCAACTCCTTCATCACTCGATCCTCCACATACGGCTGTTCTCCTCCGCAACTTGATGGATCAAATTTGATCTGCAGAGTTTTCTGTTTCCTTGGAGGAACATGCAGCATTGCATCCACAGAAGCACATGATAGAGCCTCACGTTCTTTATAGTACACATAACTCTCAAAGGGGTTGAGGGTAACAGTTAGGCCACCGTTTTGGTTCCCAAATGTCAACTTGGCCTCCCATTCAGCTGAGAATGACGAATTCGAAACCTCGAAATTCAATAGAGAAAATGCATCCAAACGAAGCACAAGGGGGTCTGTTCCTGGGCCGGACTTTGAATCCACATAGTTGCCTAACAACCAGAGAGAACATCCGATGGCTGTTGCTAGACTCACCACTATTACAAAAAGCAGGATGTATCCACGAATTTTACTGCAATCTGGAGACTTCTTGCACCACAAAGAAGCCATGCATAACTCTTCCTGAAAGAGAGAATACAAAGTTCAAGATGGATATGTTAGGGAAATTTTCACTGGTTATTCGGTGAAAAAGAATACTCGTGGTTCGTAGTCTAGCAATATATAACACGTTAGAACATCAATTTTTTTTTTCTAATCTATAGACCAAATTAAAGTTGCTAATTCCTCAATTTAAAATTACTATTTTACTAATTTCACCAAAAAAAAAATTAGTATCGGCCAAAGCTATAAAAAGTCTAACAAGAAATTAGAAATAAAATGTAGTAGGTAGTTTGTTCAATATATTTTTTTTTTTTTTCAGTGCAAAAGTGATAGTTTAAACTACAGGTTCACACGCACACTACTATGATGCCGTGAGATTCGAACCTGAAACCTCTGATATGCAAGTCAATCTTTTACCACTAGGCTAGACCCCATTGAAAGTAGGTAGTTTGTTCTTAAATGCGGTACTGCAGGGTAAGATATATTTGTTGCTACAAACGTACTTGTAAGACACTCTCCAAATAGATTATTCACTTGGTATAATTAATCAAATAAGAAGCTTCAAGAGGACAAATCAAAGAGACAATTTGTGTGACTTGGATTTTATAATCGTTCACCAAATTATATAACACTGATTTTGACAATTTAATTTCACCCAGAAGAAGTTTATAACAATTTAAAGATAGTGAAAGAAGACCGTACCTTGTGATGCTAAGTTTTCTTGGTCTTGAATCAATCCAATATGTGAAGCAAAATTCCCAGTACTAATTATAAGGATTTATACTGGATGGGAGAAAGGTGGAGATGATGAGGGAGAAGAGAGAGGAACAAATGAGGGAAGATGGCAGCGGTTAAAATCAAGTTATTTTATTTGTTTGGAAGGATATATATGCGTGGCGGTTGAAGGCCTTTTTCTGGCTTTGGCAAAACGAAGTGACGTTTGCAGTTCGTGCCCTTTCACAAGTGCAAATAGTTTGGAAAGAGTCAAGTACATCTGAAATGATAGACCCAATATTAATATTTTTTGTCTAAATTATAGAGGAAGGGGGTTTCTCGCATACTACTACTGTGCCATGAGATTCAAACTTGAAACCAATATTCTGCAAATCAAGGCATTTTTTAACTGGACTAGACCCCATTGGGATAAATTACAATTATAACGGAAGTGGAGGATCCAACCAAAAAAACAATGAGTGGAGGAAATATACAAGGACGATTAGTTGTTTTTAATGGAAAAAAAGGAGATTTAAATTTGAGTTATATCCTGATAATTATTTTATTTTCAGGGTGACTCTAGTCAATTAATAAAAATTCATTTGCACACCCAATATTTAATGAAATTTCTATAAGAATTTATCTACACAGCACGTGTAAATTCTAGAAATCTTCTGTTTATTTCATTTATGTAGTGAAACATTTTCTATTTACCCAGGTCCAGACAAAGATCATCAAAGAATTTCATAACATCACGTTCATATTCTCCTACGTCGATCAAATTAACAATCTAAACTAAAAACCTCTAGATGAAAAAATAAAGAAAAAGTCTAATTTGGTCAATTAATTAATATAGGAACCGAGCATATCATAGGCCCTCCACTAATCCAACTCCCGAACCCAATTCCACGCGAGAACCCAACCTTCAAATCCATACACTGAGGGCTTATCACAACATCTTGTGTCCCCCACCAACCAGTCCTATACGTAGCCCAAACAAACATTTGCATGCTAAAATGCACAGCTCCATTCTCACGTCTCCTGCTCATCATTTCATCCAAAACCCTGTTCTTCACCACCAGCTGATGATCACGACCCTCTTCTCCCAACCCCATTGTCGATATCTTCACCCGCACCGTTCTTCGTTCCTTCAATCCCAACATGAATGGCTCGACGGAGCTTATCGCGAGGATGTTATCTTTGTACGAAATTGAACCCTTGATGTGGTTGAAACGAACCCATGTGACCAGGTTGGGGTTGTCTATTGTAAGGGTCATGTCCCAATTAGCCCCCAGTGTTGTGTTGGAGATGTTAAATTTGGACATGAAGAGCGAGTTTAGTTGGACATTTGGGGCTTTTGGATGAACTTGGGACAATAAGGACATGAAAATGCACAGCAATGCCAAGGTCCCAAATATTAATAATGTAGGTGATAATAGAATAATGGGTTGGAAGACGGATAATTTGGAAATGCGTCTTGATTTAACAGACTGCGAAACGTTGTCGTTTGACGGGAGTAGTAGGGGCATGGTGGCTGAGTGCTGATCAGCTTTTGCATTAATTTCCATGGCTGATGATAGGAAATTGAGAGAGAAAGAGAGATGGGATTGAGGGAAATGTGTGAAAGAGAGTTGGGATATAAAGTAGAAGGACATAGAAACTGTATAACCACTAGAGATTGTTAAAAAAAAACTAAATAACTACCAAAAACGGTTAAAAACCTGAATAACTATATTCTAACAAACATGCGAAAGAAGATTTCTGAACTCCATTAATTTGATAACCGATAAAACTGTTAGTTTGCTCGAATGGTGATATCCATTAAACATCATTATTTAAAGCAAATGAAATGAATTCACGGTGATTTCGCAACGGTTCACCGTAGGGGAGTGGCCGGTGGTGGCAGCAGTGTGACACTGGGACGAAATTGTTGCGGTGGCTCTTGAATTACCACAAGTACTAAATTAGAAAGTTGAGGGTGTTAAAAATAAATATGATGTGACAAGTGAATATTGGTAAATTAATTGGTGAACGTAACATTCAATATATTATCTAATTAAATTACATATATATATATATATTAATGAATCGATTGACTTAAAATTACTAAACATAACTTCGATTGACTTAAAATTAATCAAAATTTATTCAATCGCACGTGTATGAGAGCAAAAAAGTATGAACACAACTATATTCAACCTGCCAAAGGCCTTCAAATGATCAAAAGTGCATTTGATTGGACTGGATTAGTCAGTTTAAACATTTTGATTGGATTTTAAGCAAGGGCGGAACCATGAATTTTTCAACGGGTGGGCTAGCTAAAGTTATTAGCTTTAAAATTTAGTGATTTTTTTTTTGGTACTTACAATTTCTATAGTCTTTCTAGAAATAAAAGTAAACATTAAATCATATAAACCAAGCTAGTTCATAGCTCCATAGACTAATTTTCAATAAGTTTTAACATAAACCAAATAGGATTTAACACTATAGTGGATTGAACATCTAAGATTTTTTACCTAGATTGACCTTAGGTTCTTTCATGCATTCATATTATAGATGAAAAGTTATTTTATGTAAAAATATTGATTAAGTATGAAAAATGGGTTTTCGAAATAATCATTTTCTCAAGATAATTTTTGGCGGCTTTTATTCCTCACACATCAAATAAGAAAACTTGATTTTATGGGATTTTAGTATGAAATATATATTGACTTAATGAGCCATCATTTTTAGCCTAAATCGTATTTGGCACTAAAATCGATTTTTCATATTTTGATTTGGTGAGAATTTGGTTTTCTAGTATTTTTATTTGAATCCAAATGGGGGGTACTTCCTTATTTACATTGTAAACTTAAGTAAATGGAGTAATATAAAAAATAAATAAAAGTAAAATGACAAAGACATTTACTTAAATGTTGAAAATGGAAATAAGGTAATCTGTGCAGCGCCACTGACTAGGCTAATATTGAAAATAAGTTAAATATATAAGTTTTATATTTTTTTTTCTTAAAAAACCACACTGGGCTACAGCCCACTGTAGCCCTTGGTGTGGTTCCGCCCTTGATTTTAAGCAACCATAGTCATTTTAAAGCCAAATTTCTTTATGAAGTGTCCAAACTTAAGTTTCAACCTCAACTTTCTTCAAAGCTATTTACTTCCAAGTAATTCGACATCAAACTACGTCACGCGAGTATTTCCACATCTCTAGAGTGCACAACAAAACACCCCAAAAACGGTTTCATTTTGAGAGTTCATCTAAAGTTTATTGTGCCAATTTAAAACTTGAAGTGCTTATACAGAAACGAATATAATAGAATTAGATGTCCAAATTCCACAAATCCATCTGTTCCTTTTTTAAATTTTGGCATGTGTAGTGAAAGCCTCTATTTAGTTAACTATATTTTGAAGGCATCTAGTTAAAATATTTCTTAGTATGTGCATAAAAAGCATCCTCGATCATGTTTAGGTAATACATCTGCGTAGAAGAGGTTTTTCACAAGCATCTAAAAATTTCACAGAGACACGGTTTTATGCGTCTTCCATGCGAAAATATCACCAAAATATTTGTACGTATATAACTTTACTTCTACTCTGATAGATTCCCGTTGGAAGCAAAGCTCAACTCTACTTTTAATTTGCAAGATCCTTCTACATCGTAACATTACATTACAACCTCCAATTAAAAAGCTTAATTTAGGCTCCCTTGTAACTAAAACCAAAAAGCCTAACTAGGTTACTTGAAAAAGGAAAAAGAAATTCAAATTTAGTCATCAATTAGCATGGGAACTGCGCAAGTCATAGGCCCTCCACTATTATTCCAGCTTCCGAAACCAACTTTAGGCAAGAAGCCAACCCTCAAATCCAAACATTGAGGGTTCATTAAAACAGACTTTGTCCCCCACCAACCGGTCCTATACGTAGCCCGTGCAAACATTTCCAGGCTGAAATTCACAGCACCATCTTCACGTTGCCTATGGATTTCTTCCAAAACCCTCTCCTTCACAACCGGCTGATCTTCCTGTAATCCATTCACGGATATCTTCACACGCATCATTCTATGTTCCTTCAATCCCAGTATGAAAGGGTCCAACGAGTATGTCGCGAGAGCGTTATCTTTATAAGAAATCGAACCATCTATGCGGTCAAACCAAATCCACGAGACTAGATTAGGGTTCTCTATTGTGAAGGCCACGTCAAAGTTAGCCACTAGCTTTGTGTTTGAGACATTAATTTTCGACATGAAGAGAGAGTTGAGTTTGATTTTCAGGGGCTGTGGAACTAAGGATGTGGCCATGGCTACGCATAGCAACGTGACGATCCCTAACACGAACAACAAAATCCGGTGGAGAAGTACTAGTTTCACAGTGAATCGAGATGTGATAGACATAGACATGTGGGGGTTTGAAATTGAAGGGTTGTATGAAACTGGGAGTAGTGGCATTGTGGCTGAGCGCTGTGCTGTTCTATTAGAATCCATGGTTAATAGAAACTTATGCTTGTGATGCAATAATCAAGCTTACTAGGGTTTCGGGGAGAAAGAGAGATGGGTATGAAGAAATGGGGGAAGGAAAGTTGATATAAAGGAGAAGGGTAAAACTAATTAACTACTAGAGAATAGAAGGTTATAAACTGAAACTGAGTCCAACTAACATTTGCTAAAAGGGAGTAACGAATAACTACTGGATTTTCTAAATGTCAGTCATTTGATAACAAAAAAAATGGTTAGCTGAGCGAAAAATCTAGAAATAGAAGGTTGTTCAAGTGTCAACATACATACTTAATCATACGACGAATATATTCGTACATGATTTACCCGAGTTGCAAGGTTTGTTGAAGTATCAAGGGGGCCATCTCTGAGATTTATAAGCCGCCTTAAAAAAAAAGAAAAAAAAAAAACTTATTTTATCCCTTCAATTTATTAGACAAAATAGTGCATGGAAGATCTAAACCAAGTCAAACACATATAATTAGGAGCGAGAGAGTCTTTACCTCTAATCTGAGTAAAAAGTAGACCAAACACTATCATTAAGGTTGTTTTTCCTATCAATGTAGAAAGTTCGGCACCATTTTTTGGAAATGTTTTCACAAAATCTTTTCGAAAGTGAAAACGAAAGAATGAAATTGTGTTTCCAAAATTGGAGAATCTGTTCAGCCAAAACATTTCCCAACATCTCTCTCTCTCTCTCTCTCTCTCTCTCACAGATTGGTTGGTTGGGTTTGGTGAGAGTTTATCTCACATTGAAAAATTACCCAGCCAGCCTGAGTTTATAAGAGTTTATGGTGAGTTCGATTGGATGAGGTTTGACTGGGTGGTGGGGCCACCTAAGTTTTTTCGTTCGTGCATTTTTAAAATTTTATAATCTACGTCTTTTTGTTAAATTTTATAATAAAAAAGAGTTTTATATATAATATATTCTCGAAATACGGAAGTATACACCATTCTAGACATCTTATATATGTTTACTTTGTTTGTGTGTGGTGAATTTTTTTCTTATGATTTGATTACAAAAATATACAAATTTATAAATAAACCAAATCCTAGACATGTATTTATAAAAAAATCCAAACACTATTTAAACATAGAAACACACCCAAAATGAACCCCAAAATCAACAATTGTATATTTTTTGGGTGTGTTTATAAATGGGTTTTGGGTGTGTTTATAAAGTGTTTTGGGTGTTGGGTTTTTTTATAATTTCAGCCCACATTTTGGGTGTTTTAGTGATTGTGATATCCTTTTCAATTTACACATGGATAAAGATAAAAAGGAATGTTCACATTATTGTCTCCAATTTTGATGCATGCATTCCCTTGAGAAGAAAAGACAAGTTCTTCCTTGTTCATAATTTACAAGCTTCATCTACATCCATCAAATTACAGACTAAAAACCCTAGTCCTGCCTAAAAAAAAAAAATTTCAACAACTTTCCGATTTCATCAACTAGCATACGAACTAGTCGAGCAAGTCATCGGCCCTCCGCTGATCCAGCTACCGAACCCAACTTTAGGCAAGAAACCAACCCTCAAATCCAAACAGTGAGCCTCCATCATGGCATCTTCTGTTCCCCACCAACCCTTCTTATACGTAGCCCATGCAAACATTTCCATCTTCAAACTCACAACACCATCTTCACGTTGCCTATTCATTTCTTCCAAATCTGACACCTTCATCTTCGGCTGATCCTGTAATCCGGTCCTCGATATCTTCACACGCATCAATCTTTGTTCCTTCAATCCCAAGTCAAATGGCTCAACAGAGTATATCGCGAGAGGGTTGTCCTTGTACAGAATTGAACCCTCTATGCGGTCGAATTGAACCCAAGAGACCATATTGGGGTTTTCTACGGTGAAGGCCATGTCCCAGTTGGCCCCTAGTGACATGTTTGAGACGTTAAGCTTGGGCATGAAGAGTGAGTCGAGTTGGATTTTTGGGTTCTGTGTGGGCGTGAGCATGAAGACACATAACAATGTGAATGTCCCTAATGCAAGTAATAGAATGCGGTGGACGTGTACTAATCTTGCAATGGATTGGGATGCGACTGATTGGGACACGATGGGGTTTGAAGGGTTGCTTGAAATTGGGAGCAATGGCTCTGTGGTTGAGTGGTGGTGAGCTTTTGCATTAATTTCCATGGTGAATTAATCAAAGCTTGTAATGTGGTATAGAAAGTTGCCAGGGTGATTATGAGAGAGAGAGAGAGAGAGAGAGAGAGAGAGAGATGGGAATGAAGAATGGATGAAAGAGAGTTAATATAAACGAGAGGGGTAAAACTAAATAACTACTAGAGAGTAGAGGTCGTTGTAACTTGAAATTGATTGCAACTAACATTAGCTAAATGGGAGTAATGAATAACTGCTAGAATTTGATAACCAGAAAATATAACTACTAGAAGTTCTCAACAACAGTGGTTTGATAGCAGATAGAATATGATTAACTGAATGATAACAGGAACAGTCTTTCACAAAGACATTATTGAGCCTTTATAGATACTTCTTATTGCGGACCATTTTGGTGGTTTGCTCTTGTTGTGGAAACTTGTGGTACATGTTATGACTCACATTAGCATATTGCTAAAAATGGGTATGGACTATTTTGAATGTATTGCATGCTTAATGTTCTTTTGTTGAATGATAAAGCAAATTTATCATACGGACCAAGTGGGAGAATGTAAGAATATTTTTATAATATGTTATGTGGCTATGTGTTATGTGGGAATTATTTGCTATATTACAATTGTTTGATAAATACTAGTCTCTTTGCACGTGCTTCCGCGCTTGCGAGAGGTTTTTTATTATTTAATTTATTTATAAATAAATTTAAATTTATTTAAGAATTAAAAAATATAATGGGTAGTTGTGTTCCATAAAAATAGGATTCATTATCTGATTTTTCTTTTAATTTTAATTTTTTTAATATAAAAAAGTGTGAATTTACCATATTATCTTCATTTAATTAATAATTTTAATTCTTAATGTTTGGATTAACCAAGGGCATTTTTTAGTATTTTGAATGTTTCACCATTCTCTGCCTTTTGTTGTATATATATATATATATATAGATATAGATTATTTAGATCATTTTAAAAGGTCAAATAACAATAAGGCTTAATATCACAAAACGTCCATAAGATTTACGAAACTATCAAATTGCATCATTAAGGACGTTTTGTGATGTTAAGCCTAAAAATAATAGTAATTTCTTTTCTATTACCGTGGCTGGTGTTGGTGAGACAAGTTTCATTTTCATGTGGGTGGATTTAACTTTTTATTTTGAGGAATAAGAGATAATACTACTTAATACATTAAAAAGCATATCACACGATTTCATGGCATCATTGTGCCATCACTTTCTACGGCTCATTTGCCCACCATTTATCTATTTTCGGCATCACTTTCATGGAACTAATTCTGAAGCAATCACTTCCATGGTTGTGTGTTCGTTCCACAAATTAGTTCAAAGCCTGAGAAGGATCAACCCAAAAGCTTAGCAATCAAATATAATCAAATATGCTTGGTGGTGAAAACCTCTTTATTCAACGAATCAAATTTCATTTAATCACTGACTTTATCTGGGGGAGATTTGAAATCTCAAGTAAAGTAGCCAAACTATAGAACATAATCGAAAAATAAAGACAATCACAATAACCGTATTATATTAGTTCGAACGTTACAAATCTAGAACAAATTATCAAAATTAGGGAGAGGTAGGGGTTTTTTTTCACACGCGCACTGCTAAGGTGCCATGGGGGTTCGAACTTGAGACTACTAATATGCAAACCAAGACCTAGAACAACATAAGCTCATGGCATAACAAAATTACTTCAGTTTTAACACTTGGAAAGAACATACGTGCATACACAAGGCCTTAATCTTAATTTCTGGCCGTGGACCTAATTAAGCTATACGGATAAGATGGAGCATATGGTTTGTATGAGTGTGAGCACAAGGAGTATAATTGCTGCAATGGTGGAAGCAAGTTTCCATGGAGTGTTGAAATAGTCGCGCTTCAAATTTGCTTTCCATTTGTGCCAAGGGACCTTGCAGTAGGCACTGAGATTTTCTGAAAGGCTTAGGTAATAATCAGTTCGCCCATCGATGTAAACCCCTTGGCCAATTCGTTTAATTAGAGCTGACAATTCATCGTTAATCTCCAACAGGCTAGATATAATTTCGTGTTCAGTGAGCAAGTCCACGTCCTTTGAAGTCGTGACACCCCATGAGGACTATAAATTGTGAAATGTACCTCATGTGGTGATCGTGGCACTGTTCAAAGACGAGTAGGTTCCTGAACAGAGTTTCCGTCCAATCATCTACTCTAAAATTCGGAATTACAAGACGTCGGTTGTCGAACTGTATGTCAAGCAAGAAGGTTTTTCTTGTCCTCAAAACTTAACTCCAGCGTCGTCTAGCATTGTCACGCTTGGTGGGATAGAGAATTCATAAACCCCTTCGTGATATACATCCTCTCTAGGCGGCGGGGGCACGTAGTAGTATCGTATAAAATCAACAAAATGATATAGTCCATGGTCAACTCCAGGCACAGGTGCATGATCAGCACCAAATGCGTCGATTTTGGCGTTACACTTTAAGAACTCGTGCGTAAGCTCGACCAACTTGAGATTTCCTGTGGAGTTGCTATCAACTAGGTCATACAAACCCTCAAGAACAAAGAAGGGAATTTGGTTCTCAATCAACATGACATCATGCACAACATCGAAAATCATACACTGCTTTCTATATTGGATCGCAATCATCTACATATTCGGAAAACTGTGCCCTAAGCAAAAGCTCCAAGACAAAAATTGCATCCACCAGCATCAGCTCTGCAAACTCATCACTGCTTAGGTCAATGGGGTCGGCGTAATAACGCCTGGCTGTTCCTTCCCACGTCCTCACAAGGCCAAGGCATTGGTCTAAGCTGAGATGGTTTGGGCTCAAGAAGGCCTCTAAGTATTTGAGTTTAAAGATTTGCATTTGTGGGAAACTGCCTTGGTGAAAGTGGTAAGGTCCGATTGAGAACACCGAGGGTTTGTAGAATTCTTCATTTCCTTCGCGAAATCTCTCGGGGACTTTGTAAATACAACAATCTGACCAAAATGAGGGCATTTCTCGCACTTTACCCTCGATTAGAATCGCCACTTGATCGCGCGGTTTCTCAACTGCTGGTAGCATGTTTGCTGTATGGATATGGAGGTGCTATGAAACTAGTTCAAAAGGCTTCTTCTTCTTCCACAGCCTCAGCTGGCGCAAAACTTAGATTACCGCATCTCCTCTTTCTGTTCATCCTTCAAATTCAAAACATTTCAATTAAAGTTAAGCATTTTCTTTTTTGAAAAAATTTGGTCACAACATATATATTTCTAATATGTAGAAAGAAAATGTAGAAACAAATTTGCATACATGATTAAAATCCATAAGCCTTACCAGTTTGAGTTCACCTCTGTAGTCAAGATTAGGAAGAAGAAAACGTTAACAAAGCAATCTCCCCGTTTCGACCCAAAAGAAGAAAAGAAAAAGAACAAAACAAGCAGCTTGGGAAGTGGGAGGAGAGGAGCAGGTGAAAGCCATTTTAAATTATTATTTATTAAAGCCACTTCGGTAAAGCTGAGTGCCCCAAATTATTGGCTTCTTTATTCATTCTCATATTCCTTCTTTTTCTTTACAGTTGCACTACTTTGTACAAAGGAAAAACTACAAAAGACCTCCGAAATTATAGGGTCACCAGTCACCACCCTCACTAGAATGCCAACAAAATCAAAAGTGGGTATAAACTTGAAAATGATACTATAATTTGGGAGGTCTTTTATAATTTGTCCAAATTAATGAAGTTTCCCTTTCTTTATTTTTTTTTATAAAAAAAGACTTATAATAAGAATCCTAACCACATCAAATATATGTTTGATGTGGGTAATAGATGAAAGTTTTGCGTCAGTGTGTGGTTAGCCTCTGCATTCCGAATAGGTGGTCTTAGTTTTTAAATCTGTTATTAATTTAAGTTAATTGAAGTTCCAGATTACAAACTTCTTAGAACCAAAATTTTATATTTAATTATTATATTTGTTATATTTATTCTTCTGCAAATCCATATCTTCTATAATGAAAGGTTTTGTGTTGTCTCTCCGCTGATTAGTGTCATGGGATTTGCCATGTGTCCCTAATATAATTTTCTACTTAGCATTATAATCAAGTTTCAGAGCAGGCTTTTAATTAGCAAGTAGCGCTGGGCATGGTCAGGTTCGATTCGTTTCTCATTCAATTTTAGAACCAAAATTGTACTGTTCATCTGGTTCGGTCCTGTTCAATTTTGATGAAAAATTAACAACTCAATCGAACCAACCCGAATGGTTTAGATCCGATTCGGTTCCAATTTTCCCAGTTTGAACCAGCAAACAATTCTAACTTTTTTTTTTTTTTTTTCAATCTTCTCCATCTGATAATATTCTCTTATTGCAGAATTTCAATGGCAACATATATGCACACCAAAAATAAAAAAATAAAAAAATCAACCACCACAAACAACCTCTAAAAACCCAATTGTTGATACCCCAAAATACAATCAATTGATATACATAAAAACATATATAGCCACATCCCAACAAACCCAAATCTCAGCAATCAGTGAAAAAACATAATTTTTGTAGCTTCTCTGGCTGCCTTTTTCCAGCAATTAGATCCAGCAAAATGAAAAACATATCCTCCAATCTATCGAGCAAAACAAAAGGAGAAATCAGACAGAGCAAAGGAGAGGAAGAGGAGAAGAAGAGAAGAAGAAGTTGAGGCTAGGTTTTCTTTTGGAGAGAAAGAGGGAAGAAAAAAGAAAAAGAGAGAGAGAAGAAGGGATGGAACAAAAAAGGAGGAAGAAGAAGAGAGAGAGAGAGAGTCGGCACATGGAAGAGAGAAAAGAAGTAGAAGAAAGAAGAAGAGAGGGATAGAAAAAAAAAACAAAAGAAAAAGGAGGAAGAAGAAGAGAGAGAGAGAGAGAGACTGTCGGCACAGGCACAAGGAAGAGAAAAAAGAAGAAAGAAGAAAAAAGAGAGGAAGAAAGAAGAAAAAGAGGGAAGAAGAAGGGAGGGATAGAAAAAAGAAGAAGAGAGAGAGAGTGTCCGCACAAGCACATGGAAGAGAGAAAAGAAGAGAGAGAGAGAGAGAAGAAAGAAGAAAAAGAGAAAGGAAGAGAGAGAGAGAAGATGGACTTAAAGCTTTTGGATTTTGGCTGAGGTATAAGGTGTTAGGCTTCAAGTTGGAATTGGCTGAGGTAAAAATTAAAACATAAAAATTAATTATATTTAAGTCGGTTTGGTTTGGTTTGGTTCGGTTTTTGGAGGCATGGAATAGAAACTAAAACCTGTCAAATCGGTTTGGTTCGGTTTTTTTATTGGATGTTGACTTTTTGGTCAACTCGATTTTTTCTGATACGATTTGGTTCAGGTTTCTGATTTGCCGGTTTGAATGCCCACCCTATTAGCAAGTGCATAATAAGCGATTGTACAGAGCGCTACACTTAAAGGGGACTTCACATTAATTATTATATTCCATTAATATAATGCTGTAGCTTAGTAATAGTATATTAATTTAATAATCAATGCCAAACCGACATTAGGAACACAACCTGATAGTGTTATAGTCACATTAAAAGATTACTCATTGTGATGGCATTTAAACATGGGTAAAGATCAAAAGAAGGTTCCCATATTACCTTCACTTTTCATGCATTAATCCCTAGAGAAAGACACACAAGTTCCTCCTTGTTCATAATTTACAAGAATCTTCTACATCGATCAAATTACAACTTCAACCCTAGTACTACCAAAAAAAAAAAAATTACAAATTTCCGATATAATCAACTGTCATACAAACCAGTCGAGCAAGTGATTGGCCCTACTGATCTAGCTACCGAACCCAACTTTAGGCAAGAAGCCAATCCTCAAACCCAAACAATGAGCCTCCATCATGACATCTTGTGTTCCCCACCAACCCCTTCTTATAAGTAGCCCATGCATACATTTCCATCTTCAAACCCACAACACCATCTTCACATTGCCTATTCATTTCTTCCAAATTTGACACCTTCATCGCCGGCTGATTCTGTAATCCAGTCATCGATATCTTCACATGCATCATTCTTTGCTCCTTCAAACCCAAGTCAAATGGCTTGACAAAATATATCGCCAGAGGGCTATCTTTGTATAAAATTGAACCCTCTATCCGATCGAAGTGAACCCATGAGACCATGTTGGGGTTGTCTATGGTGAAGGCCACGTCCCAACTGGCACCTAGTGATGTGTTTGAGACGTCAAGCTTGGACATAAAGACGTATAACAATGTGAATGTCCCTAATGCAAGTGCTAGAATGTGGTGGACGTACTAATCTTGAAATGGATTGGGATGCAATTGACTGGGACACGATGGGGTTTGAAGGGTTGCTTGAGCAATGGCTCTGTGGTTGAGTGGTGATAACCTTTTGCATTAATTTCCATGCTTAATTAAGAGGAATTAATTAACGCAAGTAATGTAATAGAAGGTTACTAGGGTGATTGCAAGAGAGATGGGAATGAAGAAATGAATGAAAGCGAGTTAATATAAAGGGGAAGGGTAAAACTGAATAACTACTAGAGAGTAGAGGTTGTTGTAACTTGAAAGTGATTACAACTAACATTTGCTAAATGAGAGTAAAATGAATAACTAGTAGAATGTGATAATAGAAAATATAACTACTAGAAGTTCTCAACAACACTCGTTTGATAGCAGATAGAATATGGTTAAACTTCGAGAATCAGAAGTTCGTTGAAATGCCAAAAATAAATTAGGCTATAATGGTAAAATTTTCAAAAATCCAAATTGCCCATGTTTAAGAATTTTATGTTTTTGCCAATGGGGTATACCTTTGTTAGTTAAGCTTTTTTGCATCCACTTATGTGGGCAGAGGTTCGAAACCCTCAAGTACCCAATGAATATTTGTGTAAACCCCTTCCCCCAAATCGCTTGTACTGAAGAAAAATTCTTTAGGAACTTGCAATAAAGACAATGTAATTCTAACATCTGGGCCTAATTAATTAAGATAGTCCTTGGGAAGATTCATTTGAACTTTTATTTAATTTACTGTCACTGCATTTTTTTTCTTCAAAAATGAAAAATATTATAAGGGTACTAAACATAAATGGAACTAAAACACTTTGTTGTTATATATGGAGATTCATAAACAATGAGTGCTTATGAGGATGAAACTTAATGAGTATGGTGAAAAGATTGTTCTTGGTTGTCGATCTGTAATGTCTCCTCTTAGAGGGATAAGATAGAGCATATGGTTTGGATGAGTGTGAGCACAAGGAGTATAATTGCAGCAATAGTAGAAGCAAGTTTCCATGGAGTGTTGAAATAGTCGCGCTTCAGAATTGCTTTCCATCTGTGCCAAGGAGCCTTGCAGTAGGCATTGAGTCTTTGGGAAAGGATAAGGTAACGATAAGTTTGCGAATTGACTGCAACCCCTTGGCCAATGCGGTTAAATAGAGCGGACAGATCATCGTTACTCCCCAGCGTACTAGATATAATTCCATGTTCAATGAGCAAGTCCACGTCCTTTGAAGTCTTGATCATGCCCCCCATGAGGAACATAAATTGCGAAATGTACTTCATTTGGTGATCGTGGCACTGTTCAAAGGCGATGAGGTTCCTGAAGAGAGTTTCCGTCCAATCGTCAACTCTAAAATTCGGAATTATGAGACTTCCGTTGTTGAATTGTATGTCAACTAAGAAGGTTGTTGTTCTTGTCACAAACTGAACCCCGGCATCGTCTAGCACTGTCATGCTTGGTGGGATTTCTTCAACCCTAGGATGACTATTGGGATTTTCACCCTCCACAGGCGACATGGGCAAGTAGTAGTATCGTATAAAATCAATAAAATGCTTCACTCCATGGTTAACTTGAGGCACAGGTGCATGATCAGCACCAAACTCATCGATTTTGACGTAACCCTTCAAGAACTCATGCGTAAGATCCACAAAGAAGCTGAGATTTCCTTTGTAGCTGCTATCAACAAGGTCATACAAACCCTCAAGAAGAAAGAAGGGAATTTGGTTCTCGATCAACAACACGACATCAAGGAAAACATCTATTATCATCCGCGGCTTATGATATATTCGATCGCTGTCGTCTATATATTGGGCATACTGATGCCTAAGCATAAGCTCCAAGACAAAAATTGCGTCCACCAGCATCAGCTCGGCGAAGTCATCACTGCTTAGGTCAATGGGCTCGACATAATATCTCCTGGCTTTTATCTCGCAACTTCTCACAAAGCTAAGGCATTGGTCTATGAATCCGAGCTCGTTTCGGCTGGTGAAGGCCTCTATGTATTTGAGCTTATAGCTTTGCATTTGTGGGAAACTTCCGTGGTAGGAGTGATAGGGTCCGATTGGGACCACCCGGGGTTTGTAGTGTTGTTCATTTCCATTGCGAAATCTCTCGGGGACTTGGTAAATAGCACAATCTGGCGAAAACGGCGGCGTTCTTCGCATCTTATCCTCAATTAGAATCGCCACTTGATCGCGCGGGTTTGGGTTCTCCACTGCTGCAGCAGCTGCTGGTCCAGCAGCATTGGTTGATTCCTTTGGACTTGGAGCACCTCGTGTTGTTAAAGTCTCCTTGGCCGGCCCAGATGACGGCGTTTCTCGCGACGCTAAACCCTTAGATGGAATCGCTGCTTGATCGCGCGGGTTTGGGTTCTCTACTTCTGGTCCAGCATTTGTGGATGCACTTGGAACATCCGTCGTTGATGAAATTTCCTTTGGAGAAGACGACGCCTTGTGTTGCCCTTTCCATGGAAATAGTCGCGCCCATTGACATGGCCCTTTTTTAATTGTTGTCGCAGCACCCAACCTCTTTGAGTCAAGAGGACGAACGTCTGGTCCAAACCGGGTCATTAAACCTTTTAAATAATAATAAAAAAATTATGTCGTTAAGTTGTCATCGATTACATAAAATAAATAAAAGAACATATAATTTAAAGTTGTATTTGGATCAAGACAATTGCTAGTTAAGTTATCATATTTTAAGATTTTAAGTTTAACACAAATAAATAATTTCTACCTGGTTCTTGGAAGAAAAAAGATTATTTGATGGAAAAAAAAAAAAAGATTCACAAACATCAAGGGTGTGTGCAATTGCCACCCAAAGAAATTATTTTAACGTACGTATGGCACCTAAACTTCACTTTTGGTGTGAATCTATCACCTCCATCTATTTTCATCCATATTTCCATTAGAAATATTTCTAAGGACACTCTTAAAAATTCTCTAGGCACTAGCATTACTTGACTCGTTTGTTGTTGAGATAAAATACCTCTAGAATACAAGTGACGGAGTTAAGCTGAGCTGATATAAGCCTAATTTACGTAGTATCCACTAAAAGGACTTCTAGTCCTAAGCGAGCTACGATGCTTTAGGTTGATCAAGATATGTCTACTTGAAAGGAATCCTAGAACAAGGAGGACTAGGTTGTTCTTGAGTTTTACTCTTACAAGGATTGGGTCGTGTTGGATACCACAACTTATTGTGCATTTTACTCTCAAACACTAGACTTGTGGCATAAAAGATGAACCCACAAGGTGAGAGAAAGAGAATTGGTGATTTATTTATTTATTTTTAATTTTAAAAAATAATCTATTTTTAACATTTAAATCGTCTTCTAAGTGTTTTTTTTACACACATTGCACTTAGGTGATATACATTTGAGCAAGATAATAAGCTCCATTCGTGCCACATCAATATTTGTAACAAACTTTTTTAAAAACATGATAATGGAAAGCAAAGTGAGATGCAAAACATTAGTAAGAAAGTGGATATAATTTTGTTGTAGTAAATAACATCCTTCCCCCAGTGGTTGGGTTTGATGGTTTTTGGGTTCATTTCAACATCTTATCAGAATACAAAAGAGTATGTTAAGTGATTATGTTCGGGTAGCTAAAAAGATCAAAATTTAATCATGAAATCTTTCTACACATGTAAATTTTGCATAATATATTATTAAAAAGACATAAGGCGTACCAGGTTGGGTGGATGATTTTCACTAGATGACTCCACCTCTGTAATCAAGATATAGTATTTTCAGACAGGCATTTGAGACAAGCTCTGAAAGTGGTTCATCATTATAATTAATGTGTATATAACAGAATGAAAAGTTCCATATTATTCTTTGACATTATTACAAGAAATTAACAAAGTATTATTCTTCATATATTCTTTGACATTATTACAAGAAATTAACAAAGTATTATTCTTCATATTCTTTGACATTATTACAAGCAATTAACAAAGTATTATTCATCGACATTATTACAAGAAATTATAACAAAGTATTATCTAAGTTGTGGGAACACATATTTTGGCAATCAATAGATGGGTGGCATGTGGAAAGGGAATATTCCTTAAGCCAACTGATTACCCTAATTAATTCTATTTAATTAGAGAAATTATCTTTGATTTAAGATGAGAATATCACCTCAAATCAAATCTCCTTGATTAATTCCAATCTCTTATTTACGGGTAAGAATAATCTTAAACAAATAAGGATTATTCTTCAAACCTTAGCCTACAAGGGTTCATAAATACATGGCTACACAACACACAAGAGGTAATTATGAAACTCTACACAAAAAGCTCTCTTTCTCTCACGCCACTCTTGGATCTCTCTCCCTCACGGCTCCGACCACCCATATACATGGTTCTGGCCACCTGACTCTCTCGGTGAGAGAAGACCTCCATCCTTTCCGTTATCTCCACATCTTTTCTAAGATCATTTAACTGACTTAGTCATCGAATGGCCTTTGGCAAACACGCCGCGAATGTGGTCTATTTACTCCAACCTTTTTCACAAGGATCAAGGAAGAAGAGAGAAAATGAAGCTCAAAGGGTTGAAGACTCAACCCACGAAAATTCCCCATGCAGAAATTTGCTCAAACATAAGTCTTCTGTATAAAAATTTAAAAAAAGAAAAAAGAGAAAGATCCCTTGCAAGATAGCTGCTTCGCAAGGGTTGTCTATGGTGAAGGCCACGTCTTGATTGGCCCTTAGTGATGTGTTTGAGACGTTAAGCTTGGGCACGAACATCTAGTAAAGATGAACTTTTAGGGTTTGTGGAAGTCTGGACATGAGGACGCATAATAATGTGATGTCCTTAATGCAAGCAATAGAATGCGGTGGACAAGTCCTAATTTCGCAATGCATCACAATGCGAAAGACTGCAATATGATGGGGGTTAAAGAGTTGCTTGCACTGACGGACCCATTAAGGCGCAATGAGGTGCAGCTCACCTCCCCTCACTGGAAAAAACCCAGGAGGCGCTAGATTTGCCCCTCAGCTATGCTGCCTACCAACTATATGAGTAAATGCCACAACCATGTTCTTCTTTGTTTGTTGCCCTGTGCGAAGCATGCCTTTTTTCTTTTTCTTTTTCAAAGTCCTGGGCAAAACGACTCGTTTTGGACCATACCAAAAAAGAAATAAATAATTAAGGGAAGGGCTAACTGTTGTGAATTTTAGACAACCTGAAAAATAGAGATTATAAAGATTAGTCTAAACACAAATTATACTCGCAAGTGCACAAGGTCAATCGTGATATAGTATGGCAAATACGAGGTCATTCCCACGAGGATTGATTTCAACTACCAACTAGTCTAACCTAATTTACTTCACAAAATAGTTTAACTACTCTAAATATATAGACAAGAAATTAAACACGTAGCATACTCACGTAAACACGAAAGGGGTTTTTTGAAAGAATGATTTAATTGACAACGAAATTAAAAAAAA